TGGAAAAAAAGAAATTAAATGCAAATAACACTTGTAATTTATGGTTCTTTATGGCCTGATCCAATGTATTATTCAGGATAACAACAGAATAACACAGCATGAAAATTAACAAGGACAATCTAAAAGCTGAGAAGAGAGCAGAAGAGATGCTTGTTTCACACTGTAACCAGGCTGTAAATTATAACAAGCATAAATTAAATTAACCAACAACTGTGGGCACCCAAGCACTGCATAAGGATAGATATTTATAAATATAAAAAACCCAAATCCTTCTTTACATGAGAAAAATAACATTACCAGGTTAAGAAAGTGACACACATGAATATTAATTAGATGGCATTTTGAAAATAAAAAGAACTGCTGTATTGCACTCAAATTCACGACTCAGACATTTCATCAATTAGTAAAACTCATTTAAAGCTCTCTGGAGTGTGGCCTATATCGAAACCGCTACCAAGCTGAGAAAGTGCTGATGAATCTCCAGTTGGGACCAACAAAACCGCAAGCCAGCTTTGACAGCAACATTTAATTGGTATTGATTAACTGAACCAATCTAACTGAAGAAATGGAGGCTCAATTAATCAAACTGAATGAAATATCAGCTCCAGGAAGGGTAAGTGGCATTTGTAGTTGGCACATGTATGGGGGGAAAAAGTGGGACCTACACCTTCAATTATCTGGTGAATACAGATAATTTTCAGAATAAAGATTTGGCTCACTTTCAATCCAGGAGTGTGAATTTGAATTGAATTGGCCACAATCAACACAAAGTTGAATTGAAATGATAGGAGGAAGAACTTTCTGAAATGTAATTATTAATACAGGTAGTGCATTCTGGGAAATGAAGTGTTCTTATACCCTGATGCACAAACGTTAATTTTTATTAAATATGATGAAATATATAAAGAAAATACAAATGTATATACCTGTGGGGTCATCTCAAATATATATAAAAGACTTTTAAAAACCATTTTCAAAACTTTCAATAAAGGCTTTTTCAAGCAAACATTCAAAGTTTAAAAATTACAGTTATATGCATTTAAATTTATTTTAATTCTACATTCTTATATTCGAACTGGAATTCCACATTGTAATTCTAAATTCAAGAGCTGAAGTGTAATTTAAAAGGTAGTTTCAATTCAACTCTGAATGGTGCTTTGAGAAGTCGGAGCATCAACACTGACTAATTCAGGTATAAGTTAAGCTACAGTAACTATTCACAATGCTTCTAAATGTGTTAATACAGCCAAGCCACTAAAGTGAGCAATAATAGGCAAAGCAGCAGGTTATCTCTGCCTAAGACTCCACTGCCACAGACTATCTGATGCAAATTGCACAAAAAAGGGCAATAAAATATTGAAATCTAACTAACAAGTTTCCAAGTATCGGGGTGCATAGGTTATTTTGAGTCACCGAGAAACAAACTCATGTCTGCAAGGTTGCTACAGGGTTGCATGCCAGCCTCGTACTGTGCTGATCACTTTTATAAGTCAGCCAAGAAGGTCTCTTCCAGTCTAAAAACCACTACTGACCGAACGTTTGCCAACTGTCAAAGTCTAGCTCCTTAAGATGAAGCAGCATGTGTCTTTAAGGGTTTAGAAGTCATTTCTAAGTCATTCAGTCATGTGACTGAGCAATAACGCTTCTTTGAAGGTTCTGGAGGTTTTCATTTGACCTTCCCTCCTCTATGGCCATAAACTGTCTAGAGATGAAGCATTTCAGACAAGTAGCTGCCAAAACAGGCTGATGTGTCCGGAATGCACCTCCCATGTAAACGGCCCCTTCCCACATAAACACACTGGAGTGTCTTAATGCTCAATAGGGCCGCTGTTGACAGTGGAAATGAATTTACATTCAAGGCACCACAGCCAACCACGTTTCCCAGGTGGCCCCCGGGGCTTCTCTCTGCTCTGTAGTGGTGACAGTGACTAGTTCTCTCTCCTGCTCTCGACAAACTGCATAATAGAAACCCTGGCGATGCAATCCTCCCACAGACTGCCCTCAATTTAAAACAATATTTATCAGCACTCAGAAGGTGGCTTGCAAAATGTGGGTGGTAGTTGCAGTAGTCTCAATATTTAGCTAAAATGGCTCCCAAAGAAAACTGCCAATAAATAAAATTCATTCACTGCCTTTTTGGGAACAGAGCGTGTCAAATTTCCAAAGACTCTAGTGCTGAAGCCAATCTCTCAAATGAAACCGGACTCTGTAATCTTGTCCATACGACAGCTCCTCTATAGACATGCCCACATACCAACATCTTATCCCATGACGCAGACATTGAAACTAACACACCCTGAAACAACTAAATGCGGGTAAAAATATTACAAGAGAGGTAGAAAATGTCCCAGAGGACACTCTCAATGTTCAATGTGAACATGGGGTTATCATCACCATACACATAGTGGGAAAATCATGTAAAGATAATGTTTAGTCCCACAGTGTGGAGGGGCCCAACACGGTGCCTTGAGGCACTCCTACACCATCTTCTAGTCAGGAGCTCTACTGACTAGCACTTAAACATCAGGAGACCATGTTTTCCTTTGTGTGGGAAGTCAGGATCTGCTGACAGCACATCTAAATGTCTGCTTGAGTAACCTGGTTTTAAAGTTACGATACAACAATTCAAGTGTCAGAGCTCTGGGCGGCACAGGCAGACTGCTGATACAACTTCTCCAACAGTTGCCGACTATGACAATCCCATAACAATGGAGCTTGTCTTTACTCCACAGGTTACCTGAGTGTTGAAAGGCGACAGGAGCGATTAGTGGAGTGCTGAGGTGATAGAGGATTCGTAACAAACAGCAGGACATATACAGGCCTCTCTGTTCTTACACCTTCTCTCTGTTACTGCTCATGAATTCAGCACTTGAAAAGACATTAGAGGGAGGCATGTGTGGGCGCATGCTGACAGACAGAGAGCTACTATAGTAAAGGAAAAGATGGTACCAAATAAAAGCAACATACTTTTGCATGTGGGGGTTCACCTAAGTGCCTATGTTCAGTGTGTGTATCAGAATTGTTTTCTCTGAAGGGCCCTGCATTAAAACACTAGAAAATCAGCAGCAGAGGCAACATGACTCATGGACCATCTAAAATGTCCAGGGAATTTGTACTTGTGTTCTCACAGCACATTGCAGACAATCATTTATACTCATTCGGGAGTTCATCTCTGAAAAAATCTCTGAAATAGAGTTTGATGCAAATGTGAACAGAGCAATGGAAGTTCACTACAGACTACACTGAAGATAAAAAGAAAAACATCTCCTAAAAGCCTCAAATAATAAATAGAGTATTTGTTAAATATAGCTAACAAAATATATATTGTGTGTTTGATTGGTCCAGACGCTACAATATTCAGTTATTATCTTGAGAGAAAGTAAAAATCATGAAACTCTCCTTTGACCCTGGCCTATGCAGGAAAAAGCAGTTACTTTGGCCTTACAGTAAAATACATGGAATATGTCTTATGGGCTAAAAGAAACTGCATATTAAACCGTTCCAAACCTGTATTTCCATTCACTCATGGAAAACAAAAGGAGAAGAATGATCAAGCTGCTCTCTTCTATGCAATGCAATTTTGGAGGCTGTCAAACATCAAAAAAAAAAAAAAATCATAATATCAGTAGTCCATATATGTCACCATATTCCAAGTCTACTGAAGGCATATGATAGCTTTGTGTAAGGAGCAGACCAAAACTTAAGAATAATCTGGTTTGATAGCGGTGGTCACCATTAACTTTCTATACATGTTTTTGTCATTTTTATTAATATATATTTTAATTGTCTATACAGTTCTCCTATTAATTTTTATTTCAGTTTTAGCTATTTTAGTACTTCAAATTTAAATAAAAGACAATGAGAAATCACGACTTGGCACATAGCTAAAATAAAATAAGTTTAAGTTTTTGTTTAATGTTTTATTTAAGTTAACATTTATTTGAAGTAACAGATTTAAAAAAAAAAAAAAAATTGTTTTAATAATTTTAGTCTTCGTTTTTATTTTAGTTTTAGTTAATGATAACACTGGAAAGGATGTTCTACGCTCCTTATATATTTGAGATAAGCGTTTCTTTTCAAAATCTTCCCTCAAAAAGCAGACAATTAGGTACCAAATTTCTTAAGCACAAACTCTGACATCCCTTGTATTTGTCTTTCTTACCAACCGGAATTATATGTAGTCTTTTGACTCAAGTAAATTATGCTCTCAGGGGCGTGAGTCGATGAGGATTGTTTCCAGACTCTTTAAATGAACTGGATTTCTGTCTCTCCACGGAGCTCACTCGACTGTCTGTGCGAGGTGATTGGCATCTCACTCATTCCTGGTGAAAAACAGCTGCCTGCTGTTTGAGCTAGTTAAGACCCCTGAGCACAGGACAGGCATGAATACTCTCTGCTCGGAAACACATTTCTACAGGTATACATTTGCTTACAAAAAGTCAAAGCAATGCCTAGAAATAGGAGACAAAATGGTCCAAAACTGATTTTAGATGACTTATTCTATGCCTATCAGTCATAGACATTAAAGCTGTCACATCAATTGTTGAAATTATATCAGCCACTGTGTGAAGCAGCAACAGTTGAAAATGAAATCAAGGAAACCAAGGAAGTACTGCAATACTGTTATTCCTTTGACAAGTATATTTTTTGTCATGCATAGTGGATTACAATTTTGAATGCTTCAAAAGAGAGTGTGAAAACAGTTCTCAGCATCCTTACAGGATTGGCTGATGGAAATGAGAAAAAACAAGGTTTTATTGACATGTAGATTAGAGAGAGACAAGGAATTTCCCCTTTTCTTACTCATCTTTTCCTTGCCTCCCTCTACTTGATGTTGTCAATAAAACCCGTTTTGTCTCAGCGCATTGGCTGCATAACTACCAAAAAAGTTCTACACAAATATTTAAATATTATATAAATAAAAAAGATGCTTATCACAATTGGCATGTTAAAGGTGAAAGGTTGTCTTCCAGTTGTGTGGAAAATACACCCAAGGTTACCTTCAGTGGGGTTGACAGCTGCCGGCAGGCTCTCCCAATCAACTGTCCATGTAGGGCAAGGGTGAGCAGCGTAAACAGCATCTATCCCATTCTCCTGCAGGACAAAAGAACATATAAACACAGGTTAAACCATAGAATACCGACAGAAGCCTCCAGGCAAGAGCTTTTTATTGAAGCTGACTACTTTTCACACTTCCTCAGAACACCTGAGACAAGGTGGTAATTAAATCAGGATCCAGTTACGGAGCAGTTCAACCCACTTTAGAAACTCCTTTAAAGGTTGAAGTCCTACAATTGATTTGACATTTTTCCTAGTCGGTACTTAATAATCAAAGAGATGGGAATGGGTAAAAAGTGTGCTATGTTGATTATTCCACATTGAGAATATGAGATACAAACCAAGTACTAATAGATACAATGCAACAGACACAGAAGTCAATATATGGTGTTGTGTTGGGGATTTTATAGTTAGTCACCCGTTTAGAATTAAATTAACCTGAACTACCAAACAAACTCATTTGGAACGGGGTGAAGACAGTGTTAAAACCTCTAGGAAATGTTTTTTGTTTAACAAAACATACAGACAATAAGCAATTAAAGGAATAGTTCAAGCATTCAAGTTTGTTTCTTCTTATTTTTAACACCTGGTGGTGTTTTGTCTTTGTGTGTATGACTGATCCTGTTTTACGCACACGGAACTCTGATTCATCTTGTGACTTTCTACTGTAACACCTGGTAACATTACAGTGGTTGGGACATTTTAAATTAAAAAGCATATTTTGGCAGTTAAACTCAGCATCTTAAAATTGTATCACTTAATGAAATATATGGTTTTAAGTTAAATATACAACCGACAGTCCCGTTATACCCAAAACATTGTCACATTATTTTTTATGGTGAATTTTTAGCCAGATTTTTACTGTAAATTAAACAGGATATTTTTTATATTAAATGGTAATTATCACTTGTGGGCTGCTTTTCCTTCACTATCTATCTTGTTGGATGCTTTTCTTTCACTATCTATTATAAAACATTATTAATTCAATTGTGTACAAAACTAGCAAAAAGGTGTGTAAGGTCATAAGAATTGTACATTCATTTATACATACTTGTAAATAAAGTGAAAAAATTAGAGCCTGACCGATATATCGTTTTGCCGATATTATCGGCCGATATGAGCCTGTCGCCGATATTACAATTTTTTTTGCAAATTTTGTAAAATTTGGTGTAATTACTTAGTTTGTCCAGCAGAGCGCACTCCATTGTTTGCTACTGGCGACCTGGATGAAACGCTTTAAAGCTTAAGTCTATGGAAAACCATTAAAACTTTGAACGGCCATATCTCCATAACGGCGCGGCGAATCCGCACCAAATTCGGGGGATCCCTTCAGCTCGAGGAAACCTCTTGAACGCGAATCGAGTGTACGTCTAGTGGCCCGCTTTCGAATGAGACCACCCCCGCGTCGATAGCTCCCGGGGTTTGGGAGTTACGGGTGGTTAAATTCGTGGTCCTACGACGCGCAGAGGGTGGCATTCGAGAGGGCTCCTCAGCTGAAGGGATCCCCCGAATTTGGTGGAGATCCGCCTGCGCGTTCGCGAGATAGTGACACCAGTCAACACTTTCACTTCAGTAAGGAGGTCTCTTGTTCAGGAAGCAGCCTCCATTATGTATCTTTGTCACGTCATTATAAGTGTTTGATCACCACATTTGAGTGATCATTGCAAAAAATGTGTTTATGTATATATATTCTGTTTATGTATATACTGTATTCTATATATAGTACCAGTCAAATGTTTTGACCCTCGAATTGGAAAGTGTCCAAACTTTTGACTGGTACTGTACTATAATATACACAAAGAATATCGGCCGATATACCGATATCTGCCTTTTTTTACTCCCTAATATCGGTATCTGCCCCAAAAAACCCATATCGGTCAGGCTCTAGAAAAAAATTTACAAAAACATGTTACCATAATACTAATACCCGTTACCATAATACTAAAACCCAGTCTAATAACGGACAGCTTAGTATTCCTAATACCACTGCAAAACTGAATATTGCATTATCTTTTATATAGTTTATTTTAAAAATCATTTATTTCCCTTCTTGCAATGAAGGCACATTTTTCTTTCATTTCAAAATTGCAATAAAAACTTAGGAATCCTACAAATGATTGAAAATCACTCCAGCCAGGATAGTTCCAGTCTTGGCTTCTGATTGGTCAACACAACATTACAGACATGCTAAAATGCACAATATAATATAATGCTGTGTGTCATGCCTAACCCTTTAGCCGCACCTAAATTCACAAATTGTATTAATTCTCTTAAACCACCAAATGGAGTTTGTGAGATGCTCTTGGTCATTGATTTAGAATTTAGGTCTGGTTCTGGTTGTTAAACAGTAGCTAGTGAGGGTGCATCTCTGTTTGCTGCATCTCTGTTTGCTGCTCTGCCATTACAAATCCAGGCTGGCCATAAGGTTTGGCTCCACAGATGAAAATGTAATTTGCTCTAAAGCAATGAGCCACCAGCAACAGCTGCAGAGCAGACCTAAAGCAGAAAGCACGCAGCCTGGAAAATCCCAGCGGACTGCTATGCATTAAGAGAGCCTGCTGAGCTCCAACACATTCACACACACCAAATTGATATCCACTAGCGTGACGGGAAATATCAGATTTATAGTTGCAGAATGCCAGAGGTGGCAAAAACCAAACACACACACACAAGAAAAGCTTGTAGCGTCTGGACGCGGATCTAAATATTTATAATTAATTATAACTAGTTATGATTAATTATTCATATTTCCCTTATGAGCTGATTCGCTACAAGCTGTAAGAGAAATTCTGCAGCAGGCCTGAAAACTTGACGGCAGCTGTGTGCTTTTATCACCTGCTGGGGACTCGAATATAGCATTGTGGTCCGGGGCAGACAGAAAAGAGACCCAGCATTGTTACTCTGTTTGCCTCTCCTGCGGGAGTCATACAGCAGAAGTGTACGAGACCACTGCGGACTCTTTACTCATTATCGGCAGATTTCAGCACCGATGAAGTGTTGTTGGAGTTTGTGGGTCATTTAGATGCTGGGTAAAATCAGCAGGTCTGCTATGGAAGTGGTGGGAAATTGAATAAGAAGGCAAAAGACCGCACAGGAGGTTATGGACTGAATCAGCGGTTCCTCCTGGGAAAAAGAGAGCACTCATCAGGACACAGTAATGATGTCACAAGCTGAGCTTTCCATGAAATACAGCCTTATGGGTGCATTATTATCTGGAAAGGTGAGGAAACATGGGGGTCTGTGACTACAGAAAGTGATTCATCAATAACAAAACAACAATATTACAAGTGCTGCATTACAACGTTTTAAAATTGGTGGGAAAAGCACAAACTTGTACAGAGATACAGGGTTAACAGCACTCAAAAAGTATGTTGTACAGTGGACCCAAACCAATTTGAACACTATATCCACAAAAAAAAAATGGAATTAGGTGAACTGTGAGAAAATAATCATTTCTTTCAGAGTTTTGTTATAATGCATCACTGTTAATTAAATGAAAACGTGGTGCGCAGGATTCTTGAAGGCAATGAAGATAAATGAAACTGGTACTATTGGTATTATTTTTTATAATAAAATTAATGGACCAAAATATGAAACGCCTTTAATTGTTCTCTTTTTAATCAGGGAAGACTTGAGTTTTGAGAGCAATTTGGCATAATACCAACTCGTTTTCAATGAAAACTGTTCAATAAAAACAAATCCTAATATTTAATACCTAGTTGCACTACAGTTTAAAAGTGTGGGATTGATAAGATTTTTTTTTATGTTTTGAAAGAAGTCTCTTATGCTCACCAAAGCTGCATTTATTTGATCAAAAATACAGTAAAACAGTAATACAGTGAAATATTCTTTCAATTTAAAAGAATGGTTTTCTATTTGAATATATTTCAAAATGTAATTTATTCCTGTGATGCAAAGCTGAATTTTCAGCATTATTACTCCAGTCTTCAGTGTCACAAGATCCTTCAGAAACCGTTCTAATATGCTGATTTGATGCTCAAGAAGCAGCTGCAGAATTGTATTTTATTTTGTAACCATGTAAAATTCTTTACTGTGACTTTTCAGCAATTTAATGCAACCTCGCTGAAAAAAATGTATTAATTTCTTTCAAAAATATAAACTTACTGACCCCAAACTTTTGAAAAGTAGTGTATACATTGTACAGATACTGAACACTGTGCCTGTAAAAATCTAGAGGGAAATTAAATAACTATTCAATTCAACACAATTTTTGCCACTTACCAGAGTACCTTTATTTTTAAATTGTGAACATAGCAATGATATTAATAATTGTGATTTACAGCCTGCAGAAGTGTGAAGAACTACACAATTCATATTTATTTTATGCAATATCTTATTTTTATGATGAAAAATAAGCAAATGTGCACTGGATTCATGTTTCTCATGTTCTTTTGATTTCTTTAAGCATGAAATTAGGTTACTGTGATCACATATCTTTTTACATAAAGCTCATGAATGCTTTCTTTTATTTACGGATTTGAATATTTCATGATAAACGTAAGCATTTCATTATATGTTAAAGTTTACCCTCCACATATTCTTTACCACAACTAATGAACGTCAGACTCACAGCTGAAAGAAATCGCAGTGCTTGTCGGAGTCAGACAGCCCCGTAATACCAGCTTCCTTAAAGTATCAAGTGGCAGGGAGTCCCATCAGTTAAGAGCGAGCCAGTACGGCTGCTGTTCTGCCTCGCTGGAGTGCATAAATCCTTTATCATCATGGTTCAGGCCCGCTGTGGCACAGAGGGCTGCCGTAAAGGGATGAGAGCACAGCACTGAACATATTGAGAGCAGATTGCTGTTTAGGGATTATGTGAGTTCGCCACTGACAGGTTTAGAGAAGTGCTTCTGGTCACGGCATGTGTAATCTCCTTCCGTGTGAGGGAAAAGTTAGGGGAAGAGGGGGGAACGAGAAGAATAAAATAAGAGAGCAGGAGAAAAAGAAAGTGAGTGAAATTCAATTACTTGCAGTTTGGTGAGAGTTGGTCGCGGTCCCCCGATGAAGGGCTCTTGCTTGAGTTGTGGCCCTTCCTGCTCTGCTCCACTGGGTTGTGGATTCTCCGGCTGGGGAGGGCAAGGGTCAGCTGTGCTGAGACTGAGGAGGGCCATCTCACAATCCTTTGCGGCCCTCAGTATGCTGGGGAGCTCCTGTACACGCTGGTACCATCTCAGCAGCAAGGGGAGATGGGAAAGGGTGGAGGGGGTGTGCTTTTGGAGCAAGATCTGGAATGGAAAGACATAATAAAATATGTAATGTAAAAAAATTATCAATGTATGGCTATGAAATTCACATATGAAATTATACTTTGCTTTAAGAAAATGATGACATTTGTGACCCTGGAGCACAAAACCAGTCTTAAGTCGCTGGGGTATATTTGTAGCAATAGCCAAAAATAGATTGTATGGGTCAAAATTACTGATTTTTCTTTTATGCCAAAAATCATTAGGATATTAAGTAAAGATCATGTTCCATGAAGATATTTTGTAAATTTCCTACTGTAAATATATCAAAACTTAATTTTTGATTAGTAATATGCATTGCTAAGAACTTCATTTGGACAACTTTAAAGGCGATTTTCTCAATATTTTGATTTTTTTTGCACCCTCAGATTCCAGATTTTCAAATAGTTGTATCTCGGCCAAATATTGTCCTATCCTAATAAACCATACATCAATAGAAAGCTTATTTATTCAGCTTTCAGATTATGTATAAATCTCAATTTCGAAAAAATGACCCTTATGACTGGTTTTGTGGTCCAGGGTCACATTTAGGACTGTTATAAAGATCAAATGTTTTGTATTGTAATATTTTTTAATGACAATTAAGTACATTCATTGCAATACAATGGGGGGAAAAAGATATTTAAATTGCAAAATATTTATGCATCATGGAATTATTTGTATGACTTTAATGTAAGCTATTATATACTGTATATATATAATGGTCATCATTTAAACAGCTCACATTAAAATCATACAAATTTACAGATAGACACAATGCAAAATAAATTATAAATTTGCACGTATATTAATTAATTCTTAATTATTATTATCATCATTATTATGCACTTTTTGTGAGATTCATTTAAAACTGAAATCAAGAGCTAAAAAACATTGACAAGTTTAAGAGTAGGTCATATTTCAGAAAACAATGTACAATCGTTATGGCAAATGGGCGAGACAGCAGAGGCTCTGCGTGTATGTTGTGCTCCTGTGGAGTTTTCTAAAAAAAAGTGTGAATGCTTATTAAAAAATGCGCACTGACAGCAAAATGCTCTGACTTAAGTAACCCATCAAAGTGTTGTGCCCACTGAACCGAGATCAGCTCCAGAGCTGTGACGCTCTATCATCGCTCCGCAGAGGAAAGACGAGGAGAAAGGGATGAGGAGGACAGAAGGAGGGAGACATGCTAGACGGAGTGTGAAACTAGGAGGCACCGATGCGCCACTGACCACAGAGAGCCAAGAGTGAAAGAACGACAAGAGGAGAATGAACAATGCAGAGAGGAGAAAGAAAAGAACCAGATAGAAAGAGAAATGGATGACGGAGGCACGTCAACTTCACCTAAAAGACACACCACAGGGTGTCTGAAGGGACAAATTCACTATGATATTCTGCTCCCTAGACATCAATTCAAAGTATGCCTGTGGTGTGGAGGTCTATGTCTAGAACATATTAAGGTATCATTCTTGTCCATAACCCTGGGTATGAGCAATAATAGCAGGGTTGTATAACAAATACAAATTTAAATAATTAAAAATAGTAATAAAATTTAAAATAAGCATTATAGGAATATGAAATAGCTGTATGCTCAATCAACCATGCGTGTGGCATTAAAGGGATAGTTCACCCAAAATGAAAATTTCCCCATGATTTACTCACCCTCAATACATACTAGGTGTATATAACTTTCTTCTTTCAGACGAATACAATCAGTTATATTAAAAAAATATCCTGGCTCTTCCAAGCTTTATAATGGCAGTGAATGTCGAGATTTCGAAGCCCAAAAAAAGTGTGTCCATCCATCATAAAAGTACTCCTCACGGGTCCAGGGAGTTAATAAAGGCCTTCTGAAGTGAATCAATGCGTTTTTGTGTGAGAAAAATCCATATTTAAAACTTTATAAACCATAACCTCGAGCTTCGTATGCACGTTCACGAGAGAGTGGCGTTCCAGCGGATGACGTAGGATGTAGGCGTAGTGTAAGCTCCACGCGGCTTATATCGAAATCCTCAGACATTTTTCTTTACAAATCCTCATTTTGTACTTCTAATTCATGAGTCATGACCGCTGTTTTGTTTTGCGCTCTCCTCTGCGCTTCCGCGTTTGTCTCTTCTCACCGGAGCTTATGCTACGCCTACATCCTACGTCATCCGCTGGACACCACTCTCTCGTGAACGTGCGTATGAGTTAGCGGAAGCTTGAGATTACGGTTTATAAAGTTTTAAATATGGATATTTTTCTCACACAAATGCATCGATTCGCTTCAGAAGGCCTTTATTAACCCCCTGGAGCCGTGAGGAGTACTTTTATGATGGATGAGTTTTTTGGGCTTCAAAATCTCCCCCCATTCACTGCCATTATAAAGCTTGGAAGAGCCAGGACATTTTTTAATATAACGTTGATTGTATTTGTCTGAAAGAAGAAAGTCATACACCTAGGATGGCTTGAGGGTGAGTAAATCATGGGGTGATTTTCATTTATGGGTGAACTATCTCTTTAAGTCTTTTCAGGTCATCCCTCTTTTTCTTCACAAAACCAAACTGGAAATTACATTTAGACACTTACAATGGAAGTGAATGGGGCCATTTTTTGATCAATTTAAAAGCAGAAATGTGAAGCTTAGAATTTTATAAAGGCACATGAATTATTCTTTTAAAACAGTCTTAGGGTTTTAGGGTTTAAGGCATTACAGTGTCAAACTGGATATAGCTTTTTAGTTAGCAAGTAGTCTCAGCCTCACAGACCGTTGGCTAAATGTCTGATGCATATGGCACACAAAAGTGGAAAAACTTCAGGAGTTTCGAAGTCGTCATCGGATTGGTTGAATTATACAGGATTTCCGGGAGATGTGTGTGTCGCGTTCTTTAACGTTCCGAACATTTTTGAAAACGCCTGCCAGGGTGAAGATTTTCAAAAACTCCGGTTGCAGTGTTATCGCGTAGACAGCGAAACCGGAGTTTTTGGCTTGTGACGTCGGCGCCTGCACCATTATCTCTGCCTACTGGAGACTTTTTCAGGCTTCTGATTGACCAACATGGCTTTATGGTTGAGATTATATCGCCACCTGTTGGTTTGGCATGCTCTTGACAGTGCTTCATAGCATGCGTTTGTGTTTTCATGTGGACGGAGATTTTTTAAAAACGGAAGAAGGAAAAACTCAGTTTATAAAAATACCCGTGTACGTGTGGACATGGCGAGTCAAGCTGAAAGAGTTCAGGGACATCAGTGCAATAGAAACTAATGGCCTTATTTAATGCAGGACTGAGAGAATCACCTTGAAGTAGAAGTCATAGAAGCACGAGAGACGTCTGTGCTTGATATAACTTGAAAGCACCTGTGAGCCTCAGAGGTCTATTCCACTGCTAAAACGAATAAATGAATGGCTCTCTTTGTGAGGAATTGTGATTTATAAGTAATGAGATAAAAAAAACTGCTTTCGATTTGTTTGTTTTACCAGGTATTGATGGATGCAGGGCAGCAGGACGACATCGGTGAGGGTGAAATACAGCCCTTCTGCAAACACATGATCCAGCTCTGGCAGATCTGTGGTCTTGACTTTCCTGATGTCAGAGCGCTCCCTGGTGGCGGGAGAAGGAACTGCATCTGCAGAGAGCTTTGCCAGAGCAGCAGAGAGCTCAACACCTGGATGTGATTCATTCGGACGACTCTCCATCTCTGTACTAGGGCCTTTTAGATGAGAATCGCTCTTCTTCTGCTGTTGTAGCTTCTGTCGGCGTATCTTGTCATCATTGTGGACTTTGACGGGTTCCCCTAGCCTCTTCTCTAAGTTCAGGATCGCAGCAGGAAGTCGACACATCTGGTCTTCAGGGTTTTGTAAGTGTCGGTCCACTGTAGAGGGAATGTCCAGCTCACACAGTCTAGTCCACTGACTCACCTGAGAAGCAAAGACGGTTAGAAATCTTTTAATAACCGATAAAAGTGATGTACGACCCATGAATTATATGAATGGATACTGTGGCATGCCTTTTTGTAAATTTCCAGAGTTTCACATAATTAAGCAAACTAACAATGTACTGATATTAAAATTGAGGCTTATACTGAAAATCTGATAATTACTTACATAACTGATAAATGTCTGATGTTACAAACTGATACTATTTTGTTAACAAATTTAAATAATTAAAGCACATAAAAAGGATTACATTTTTGCCATAATTGATAACTAACCCTTTAAATTAGAGCTGGATAATTGATATTAATCTTAAAACAAGCAGAAACAGTTAAATATGCAATAACGGCAGATGTAAATATTGGCCAATAATGAATATGGTGCACATATATTGTTCATCTCTACAGTAAACCAGTGTTATTTTAGCATTATTTACATACTATTAATAAATATTTTGAATGAGCTTTTTTATATTTTTTTTATACTTTTTCCTATATTTTTCAATTTTAATTTTAATTTAGACTGGTCTTTTAAAAGAAGTCTCTTAGGCTCACCAAGGCTGCATTTATTTGATCAAAAATACAGTAAAAACAGTGTGTGAAATTGTGAAATATTATTACAAATTCAAATAACTAACTTCTATTTAATTATATTTTTAAATGTAATTTATTTCTGCGATGCAAAACTGAATTTTCAGCATCATTACTGAATGATGTCACATGATCCTTCAGAAATCAGATATGCTGATTTAGTGCTCAAGAAGTATTTCTTAATATCAATAATGAATTTTTTATGCTTAATATCTTTTTTTTTTTGCCATACTTTATTTTTGTAGAATGTTTTTGGTATTTTTATACGTTTTTTTTCTTAAATATTTCTATTTACCTTTCATTTATTTTGGTTTTAGAGTTTTTGCAATTTTACTTCAACTTAAAATTACATTATTTCAGTTAGTTGCCAAGGAAACATTTTAAATTTTCATTTTAAGTTTCTTAAGTTTACGTTTATCCATCTGATATTTATATTTTATTTATTTTCACTGACTTAATTTTAATTACCAAAATCAATAATAGTTTTATTTAACAATAACAACACTGCATTCCCTTAAAGACACAAAAACTCCATATTTGTTTCTCTGGTTCTTATTTGTTGTCCAAATTATCCGATATGACCCATGGCATATATTTGAATTTGTCATAGGCTGACTGACACACAACTTCCCAAAAATGGAAAACACACTTATAAAAATTGCCTTAAGGTATTTTCTGATATCCGACAGACATGACTGAAATAGGTGTCTTGAGACATCACACCTGTCCCACTGACAGCCCAAGGCTCTAAAAACAGCGAAAAAACAAACAGGAGGGAAACCCAAGTTTGTTTTTGCTCTATTAATGCCTTATAGCTACTATCTGCAAATGCTGAGCTCAAATGTCAACATGTGAATGTGTGATTCTGTGATGCTGAACTCCAAAATTTAAGTGATTGCGCCTGTCAAAACATGTCAACATGCTTGACACCCTACAGCTACACTATTAGTTCAAACTTTTGACGTGTGTGTCGCGTTCTTTAACGTTCCGAACATTTTTGAAAACGCCTGCCAGGGTGAAGATTTTCAAAAACTCCGGTTGCAGTGTTATCGCGTAGACAGCGAAACCGGAGTTTTTGGCTTGTGACGTCGGCGCCTGCACCATTATCTCTGCCTACTGGAGACTTTTTCAGGCTTCTGATTGACCAACATGGCTTTATGGTTGAGATTATATCGCCACCTGTTGGTTTGGCATGCTCTTGACAGTGCTTCATAGCATGCGTTTGTGTTTTCATGTGGACGGAGATTTTTTAAAAACGGAAGAAGGAAAAACTCAGTTTATAAAAATACCCGTGTACGTGTGGACATGGCGAGTCAAGCTGAAAGAGTTCAGGGACATCAGTGCAATAGAAACTAATGGCCTTATTTAATGCAGGACTGAGAGAATCACCTTGAAGTAGAAGTCATAGAAGCACGAGAGACGTCTGTGCTTGATATAACTTGAAAGCACCTGTGAGCCTCAGAGGTCTATTCCACTGCTAAAACGAATAAATGAATGGCTCTCTTTGTGAGGAATTGTGATTTATAAGTAATGAGATAAAAAAAACTGCTTTCGATTTGTTTGTTTTACCAGGTATTGATGGATGCAGGGCAGCAGGACGACATCGGTGAGGGTGAAATACAGCCCTTCTGCAAACACATGATCCAGCTCTGGCAGATCTGTGGTCTTGACTTTCCTGATGTCAGAGCGCTCCCTGGTGGCGGGAGAAGGAACTGCATCTGCAGAGAGCTTTGCCAGAGCAGCAGAGAGCTCAACACCTGGATGTGATTCATTCGGACGACTCTCCATCTCTGTACTAGGGCCTTTTAGATGAGAATCGCTCTTCTTCTGCTGTTGTAGCTTCTGTCGGCGTATCTTGTCATCATTGTGGACTTTGACGGGTTCCCCTAGCCTCTTCTCTAAGTTCAGGATCGCAGCAGGAAGTCGATACATCTGGTCTTCAGGGTTTCGTAAGTGTTCCTCCACTGCAGAGGGAATGTCCAGCTCACACAATCTAGTCCACTGACTCACCTGAGGAGCAAACGACAGTTAGATATCATTTAATAACAGATACATGTGATGTACGACCCATGAAATAATTGGACGGATAATGTGACATGTCTTTGTAAATTTCCAGAGTTCCATATAATTAAGCAAACTAGAAATGCACTGATATTAAAATTGCAGCCAGTACTGAAAAGCCGGTAATTATTGACATGTTATGGTCAATAACTGATAAATGTTTGATATTACAAACTGATGCTATTTTCTTAAATAAAGCACATAAAAAGGGTTATTTATTTATTTATGTTTTAACGCCATATCAGCAACGATGGCTATATTGAATTGCAATTGTAGGATGTTTAGTTTTCAAAGACTCAAGTGCTTGTAGGAAGACAATTGGACATTGAATCTGTGCAAATCTGAAAAAAAAAATGTTGTTCCTATTCTATTTGTTCTAGAGTTAAAAGTAATGCATAAGCTTCAGCTGTGAAAATTTAACTTTGTCCAGGGATACTCTTGCCAAAACATTATGAACCAATCACTACTGCAGCAGATCCATGTCCATCTGTCTTTGATCCATCTGTGTACACTGGTACATGAGATGCTAAGCTGCATCTTATATTCAACAATTCCTCCTGATAAAACTTTTTTTTTGTACTGAGCCAGGTGCATCATAATAGTTGTTTTTTTAATACTCCAAGGCGATATAGGGCACAGATGTGTTGATGTTATGATATCCATCTTAGGCTGATGATACACAGGGCAACTTTTTGAGCAATGTTGCCGGGCAACTATGACCTAAGTTGCCGTCAACGGGCAACCTGATGAGACACAGGGCCCACGACCGATCTAAAGTATCCAGATAGAAATTTGTTACCCATTCTCAATGGGAAAGTGCCCAAGCAACATTGCTCAAAAAGTTGCCCCATGTATCAATCAGCCTTAATGTCCAAGTTCTCCAAATGGGATTTTATATGGATTCCAAAAGGACTAATATATATAGGTCTGGCTTCATATAGGTGTACATTTTGAAGGTGGAAGACTGAAGGATATGCTGGATTACTTTTGTTAGCTTAACTTGACAGCCTGTTTCAATTTGTTATATAGCGAGGGTTCTCTTGCTTCTGTATACAAACTTTGAATTGGAGAGATCCTAAATGCTCCCAGAGCAAGTCTCAATCCTGCATGATGTACTGTGTCCAGCATTTTAATGTATGACTTCCTCGCAGATCCATAAACTATACTCCCATAGTCCATTTTTGATCCAACAAGGGTCCTATAAAGTCTCAGAAGTACTTCACAATCTGCACCCCATTTAATCTTTGCTAGCACTTTTATAAATATCTATTTCGCAGCATTTTAATATGAGGAATAAAGGACAGTTTCTTATCAAAATTAAGTCCTAAGAATTTTGTTGAGAACTTTTATAGGTTCCCTTTCCAAAAAAAAGCTCTGGATCTAGGTGCATAGACCATAAAAGACAAAAATGCATACATACAGTTTTTGACTTTTTTGAGTCATCGTTTTTTTGACTGAAATTTAAAACCATTTTGAACTGACCAATCATCCATTTTATTAATACATATTTGTATTTGCCTCTCAATTATATTAATATTTTTACCTTTATAACAAATACACACATCATCTACATATAAACTATGGAATATATTAGACCCCATAATACTTACAATACTATTAATTTTAATACTAAAAAGAGTTACTGAAAATATACTTCCTTGGGGCACTCCTGATTCTTGTATATGGGTCAAAGGAGTTAAGATGTCCGCATCAAAAGAAATTTACTAAAGTGATTTTATGTCCATAGAAAGCACATTAAATGTAAGTAAAGTGTCTACTTTTAAGGTTTCAAATAAATGATATTTATTTTTTGCTCAGAAAAACAAAAACAAAAATACAATTACATTAAACAGAAAACTTTTTAATTTTTTAATTTGTATTTTTTTGGAAAAACAACCATTTAAAGCAGTATTGTTTTTATGCTTAAATCGTTTTTCATCTTTGACCCATATGCAAATCAGATAACACTTCTTACTCGAACATGAAAAACTCTATTGGATAAAAAAAATTATATAAATATCCTATAAATACCCATATATTTATATAACCCTAACCCATATCAAACAAATCTTTTAAAATACCATACCTCCAGGTAGTATCATAAGCTTTTCTCATAAAAAAGGATTAAATATTTGCCATAATTGATAACTATCCCTTTAAATTAGAGCTGGGTAATTGATATGAATCTTAAAACAAGCAGACACAGTTAAATATCAAATAATGACAGATACAATAAACTAAAAAATAAAAAAACTGCTTATATCGGCCCAAAATCAATATGGTACAGACATATCATTCATATCAATTATTTTATCATTATTTACATACTATTACAGTATTTATTAATATTTTTGCTTTATATATTTTTTTATATTTTTCTATATTTTTCAGTTTTCATTTTAATTTACACCAGTCTTTTTCTCCTATGCTCACCAAGTCTGCATTAATTTGATCAAAGATACAGTATAAACAGTAATAGTTAAAAAATTATAACTGTTCTCTATTTTAATAACTTAAAATGTAATTTATTCCTGAGATGTAATATGCTGATTTGATGCTGAAGAAGCATTTATTCTTCTTATGTTGTAAACCGTTTTTGCTGCTTAATATTTTTGTGGAATTTTGTGGTAGTGTAGGTTTAACAGTTTTGTATTTTGTTTTCGTTATTTCAGGGGTTTTTTTCTTTTCTTTTTTTTATATTTCTATTTACCTTTAATTTATTTCAACTTAAACTAATTACATTTAACTTACTTAACTTGATTTAATTAAAATTATTATTTCAGTTAGTTGGCAAGGCAACATTTTTAATTTTCGTTTATAGTTTTTTTTAAGTTTACGTTTTTTCATCTAATATTTATATTTTATTTATTTTCAATTATTTCAATTTCCAAAAACAATGTTAATAGCTTTATTTAACAATAACAACACTGCAGTACATTACCCTAAATGTAAAAAACCTCCATATTTGTTTCACTGATTCGTATTTTTCGTCCCAACCATCCGTATATATTTGAAGTTGTCGTTGGCTGACTGACACACAACAAAAACTTCCTGAAAATGTCTTTAAAAAATGCACTTATAAAAATTGCTTTAAGGTATTTTCATACCATAAATGTTGCTAATATCTGACAGACATGACTGAAATAGGTGTCTTGAGACGTCACACCTGTCCCACTGACAGCCCAAGGCTCCGAAAACAGCGAAAAAAAGAAACAGGAGAGTAACCCAAGCTTGTTTTTGCTCTGTTATAACACTGAGCTCAAATGTCAACATTTGAATGTGTGATTCTGTGATGCTGAACTCCAAAATTGAAGTGATTCCTCCTGTCAAAACGCTTGTCACCCTACAGCTACACTATTGGTTCACACTTATGACTATGCAATGGGATTTTAAGCACTTGTCTTCTGGCTGTTTTTAATCTGAAATCTCACCTCGGCACAAGCCTTGAGACAGGTATTCTTGAAGCCCAAGAGTGACGCTACATCCCTACGGCCTGGCATCAGCTGGCATGTTCTCTGAATGATGTGTCTCAGTACGACAGCCAGGCCGGCTCTGCAAAAGCAAGCACCAGGCTCCAGCGCAGCCGGCAGACGGCACATCCTTACCAGCCCTGGCAGCTCGTCTCTCCTCACGTCAGAGACAGCCAGACCCCCAGGCACCAGACCTGACAGGGACTGTAAGATGTCTGCTCGATCTGTGACCAGATAGACATGGAAAGATGAGCACTCTGTGTAGGACAGGAGGAAGAGGACGATAGAGGAGTGCAGGGGTAGAGACACGGCTCCGTTCACAGCGGACACCTCCAGATAGAGGCTCTCTCTGTCCTTTTGTGGCTCAGTTTGCTTCATTCTGACAGTCTAGTGGAGGGGAGACCACATGAAGAGCATGAAATCTGCAACAGAAACGAAGGGACGCATTTAAAATGTAAAATCTGAACGTTTGGGCAGCATAATGCCAGGGACAGAATTTATTATGAGTGAATGACTGGAGAAGTTACAAACAGGTGCAGTGTTATGAACAAGAGGTCAAGTCATGTCAGTGAAAGTAAATGTGTTCAGCTATGTAGCATGCATTTTTGGTGCAAAAAAACAACTGCGCATACATGTAAGTGGTCAAATAGTCTTTAAACATTTAGCTGTATTTGAAGTCACTGAGGATGCTACCTGACTGGGTTTCCCGTGGCGTCACGACATCACTAAGCACAACAATCAACGAAAATTAACAAACGAAAATAAAATGAAGAAAAGTGAAGTGTGCCTACTCACAATGTTTGAATTGAGCAAAACACCCACTAGGCAACACATGTGAAACTCTCCGTGTTACATTAAAAATAGTCCGACTATAAACCGACATCACTTTGAGTTCCACCAACGCTTTACTTGACTTATGACGTTGCGTGAACATTTGGGTGGCGTTATGCAAATCTTCCCACATAGTGATGTAGACATGTGAGGGCGTGTTAGAACAGCCATTTTAGGTGTGGCTGACTTTGAACTTTTATAAAGAATATCTCTTTGGATTTGAGACTTTACAGATCTTTATGCACCAAGAGCTTGTAACACTCCAAAGAGAAAGGAAAAATTGAAATCGCATCATATGACCCCTTTTTTTAACGAATAACATTTATAACAACTTTAGTTTTTTTTTCTTTCATATATACTGAGACATTTATCATGTAACATTCACCGTGTGGCATTATGCCAGTAATTAATTTTTTTTAAATGGGGGAAACTTTGCAAACTGTCTCAGAGACACAAAACTATTTGTAATTTTTGACACATGATTTATCTTCTACCGAGCAGTGCGTGAATTATACTGTGAACCGTATTTAATTATTATTATTATTATCATTATTATTATTATTATTATTATTAATAATAAATTATTTTATAGCTATTTTTGTAGTAGCAATTTAAGGTGTCAAAGAAAAGGCACTACAGAACACTTATTCTTTTCACCATGTTATTTATTTATTTTTACCGGCTTCCATGGTATCTCGCACCCCAAGGTACCGTTGCTATGGTTACTTCCTCACGCCAAATAAATAAATAAATGTAACTTTTGTGGTCAATGAAACGTTTGAATCTACACCTGAAAAAGGTAATGTTTCCTCTTTAATACGTTATTTGAGTTATAAATCTGTCTATGACTGCTAATTTAAAGCTAATTGCATTGATTGCATTAGAAATGAAAGAGTGTTAATTGTGACTTAAAGCTGGAATTATGGAGGAATTTTTGCCCATGATGGGATTTCTCTAGAGAATAATCCAGTTTCTAGATCATTCTAATTTTATTCTGAGATTATCTTTCTAGTTCCATCTAGTTCAGAGTCTATAGTCCAATTCAACGAACATATCTAAACTTGGAAAGCTGCTTTACAGTACAAAGGTACACTCTTTCTAACATGTAACTGCTCAAATTCAGATCATTACATTGCTCATATACAGCTATCAGTTTACTTTGTAGAGGCATGGTGGTTTAGGCCCAGCCAAGGAGGCTTCCCATAAAACCTTCAAAGGGTGTGTATATAGTTCAGTTTACAGCTGAAGATAATTGTATGGTTACACACACACACACACACATGTTGGTTTCACTATATCAGTGAGGATATCTCATAGTGGAGATGATGTCTGCTAAACTCTAACCTTAAACCACAAACCTGTTGATATCAGACTTAAAGTAAAAAAAAAGTAATTTAAACATCTTTTAAATAGAGAGAATTGCTTCAAATGTCCTTCAATTTTCAAATTTTTTGGCATATTTCACTATATTTTTGAAGACATTTTCAAAATATATAACAGGTATAGACAAACCTGCACACACACAAACAGATCTCCATCAAAACTGACAATTAGGTCTAGTTTGTTACGACATTAATTCAAGTCAACATCACGTTTGTATTCGAGTCAAAATATCACTGAATACATTAGAATGCATCAACTAAAGACATTGTTAAAGGTCAGAACAAGTAGAAATAACTCCTTGAGGTAGCAACTGCAACTTTATACAATGAAACAAGGTACAAAATGTAAACAGTAATATCTAAAGATTGGTTGAGAATCCACATTCACAAAATATTCAAGGTGTAGGTATCCAAATGTGTATTCTCATTATTCATTTAGCACATGCTTTTATGCAAACGACACACCCAAGTGTGGAGTACTACAAATTGAGTGAACAATGCAAGTTCAAAAACACAAGTGCATGAGTGTGCCTGCAAGGGATAATATAATCAACTCAGAGCACGAGGAGAAAAGCCTTTCTCTCTCATCTCTTTAAGTGTGAGGCGGGGGCTCTTCGGTTTTTTCTGTCCTTCCCTTTGATGCTGAATTTAACCTCTGCACGAGCTGGGAGGGGGGATGCTCAACAGGCCTCGCAACCATATGATTACCAATTTGTTTGCGACCGGGCACCACTGCTCCCTGAGAGAAAAATACAGGCTTGGTCTGGAGGTAGGAGGCAGGGCTGGAAATAGCATGGAGCGGAGCCAGCCAAGCCATCCATTTACTGTCTCTGGGAGCATGTGGAAGAGATTTTCCCCTGCCAGGTCTCCACCACAAGCATCACCATTAGAGTGCAGGGTGGAGACTGGGAAAACATGCCCCTCTAAACGTGGTTGCACGAAGAGAAGTTTCAGAGACGAGTGTGGGACCGATAGAGCTCGGTTCTGCATGTAGAGCTGCGGGACACAACAGGCAAGTGCTTTTGAATTGGAGAAATCTCTCTTTAAAGCTTTTTGTGAGAACGATTTGCTTGGAAAAAAAACTATTTTAGTCAGTTTTGATCTGTAATTTAGTTGCATCCACATAATAGTACAAAAGTTATGAGAGATAATGCTATTTTTTGTCTTGTTGCAGTACAGTGAACCAATGTTGTGTACAATCCAATCCATTCGAAGCAGATTTGTAATAAGAACTCATTTCCGATGTAATTATATTTCAGCCTAAATTGATTTGGAGGAAATCAATGCTTTCGTGTTGAGTGATTTGTACAATCCATCATTCGTTCTGCGTCCATCCCGAAGCTCTGTTTACTGTTTGTAAATATTGTATGCCGCCGTAATGAGGGTTATTGAGATGCACTTTGAGTGTAATGGAGCAAAGATGTTCTCAGACCTGAAAGCTTTCAGATAAATAGAAAAGGCCGTTCGTGAAATGCTCTTGTTTCTGGGTTGAGAAGTCACTGCTGGACTCAGACCTGAACATGGATGCTTTTTTTCTGTGTGGCTTTTCTCTAGATGGCATTTTGTAGTTGTGTCAGATGTTTCAGCTTTTAAATGATATGCTTTGCTTTTTTATTTGAATGCATTGAGCACATAAAAGAGGATTAGAGGACGTTTCATATATAGATGAAAGATTTCTAGCCAAAAGACTTAAATATATTAAGTGTATTAAATCATACCAATACTTGCCTTATTAATTTATCATATAATAAAACTGAACATTTTGAATGTCAATTTTCATGGTGAATCTAGATCAATATTGTGAAAAATTGTTTCTTTTTTACAGAAACATTTGATTTGCTGTCATGAAATTGAATTTAAGTATATCAGTGTATCAGCCATTTGACCTTTAAAATGTAACAGTTTACTATTTTAATGTGCTTCTGTTTACTTGTATTTTTAAAAGACAGTTCCAGCCACATCATATGAGAGCTGAAAACACAGGCCTTTCATAATCACCGCAGAGGAGAGTAACCTACAGTGCCTTACAGGAGAGAGTCTTGGCAGGAAGTCAGTCGTTTGTGGGTAGTTGTGGGTACTCATGGCATCGTCAGACCACCAAGGAAACAAGGACCCCACAAACACAGATGGGACGCCGTCCCCTGGCACATCTTGCCCCGTCCACAGCCACGCTGCTGAAGAAGCGAAGCGGAACGGCTTGAGGAAAGCCCTGGTCAGACATCGAGACTATGTCAAAATCTCCGTGCCTGAAGGAAAGGGCAACCGATTGCCGTCGGAATGGTGGAAGACGTTCATCGCTTTGTTTTATGCTGTTTTTAACCTGGTTTTGACCTCGGTTATAATCACAGTGGTTCATGAGAGAGTACCACCCAAGGAGAGCAGCCCACCTCTGCCGGATAAGTTCTTTGACTATATAGACCGCGTGCAGTGGGCGTTTACAGTGACTGAGGTCAATGGAATGGTTCTGGTGTCTATATGGTCCATTCAGTTGCTCTTTCACAGATACAAGTAAGAGGCATCACTCAACATTATACTGATGACACTGTAGCCTGTTAATCAGCTCTGTTAGATTACATTTAATGGATTGTTGGGGTTATGTTTAAGATGATGTAGAGCAGCATGGTGAATGAATAGCCTTGAGGGTAGTTATAAAAATTAATTTTGCATTGAGGAAATAAATCTAATGAATATTACCAACTTTATGGCATAAAAACGGTACAAAATTAAAGCTTGAAACTCTTGAAAAAGTCACTTGTAATAGGATCTTAACCTTCCGAAATTGTTGTTCATCAATTTCAGGTTGTCATACAAAATATAATTTATGTTCTTTATATGAGGTTTAGCATTGATAAATGAATAAACAAACAAACAAACAAATAAATAAATGGTAATGGGAAATTTACATTTCTCATAAATAAAAAAAAAAAGGTTCCATAATTTTTTTATAACTTTGGTAAGTGGGTTAAATGTTTGATCTTGTTGAATTGTCAACATTACAATTTTAAAAACGGAATTTTCAAAATGGAAAATTTAATTATTTACTTGTCTTACTGCTGTCCTACCAGAAAGGGTCCAACTGACGTTACTTCTTACATATTTTTTTGTAATATTGCACAGCTACATATTAACAACTTACAAATAAAAACAACAACAACAAATAATAATAACCATTTCAACAGATTGAACAAAATTATAACAAGATGTGTGACTATTATCAAATCTAATAATCAAATCTAATAGTTCTCATTCCAAAGAACATGCTATTTGTACCCTAGTTATTCTCTATTCATGGATAGAGCATTATAAAAAGGCGTTGAAGGCTCAGCAATCTCAACCTAACCCAAATCTGTTTAATGATGACAAAAATTAACTTTTTTATTTTTCTGTTCCATATAGGGCTATTAAGACGATATTTCTTCCTTTTGGGCACATTGTACATGTATAGATGCATAACCATGTACGTCACCACTCTACCCGTGCCTGGCATGCACATGGTCTGTGCACCAAAGGTAAACGCCGATTTAAAAAATATATATATATTTCAGCTGTTCCTCTTTGTCATGATCCCCTCAGGATCTTATACCTAGATAATGTAAGATAAGCAAATGCATCTGGCTTTTAGATCTGTAATATCCTCTGCCTTCCTGAAGACAAATATTGCAGGCTTTACAAAGGGTTCAGATTCTATCAGTTTATGGAATGATTTTTCAATTCACGATTCATGTCACCAACCACTCATCTTTCAACATTCAATATCCTCACTCATTTCTTCTTTCCTGCATCTCTCATGCAGCTCCAAGGAGATTCCCAGGCAAAGCTGCAGCGTGTTCTGCAGTTGCTCTCTGGTGGTGGATTATCAATCACTGGATCTCATCTGTTGTGCGGTGACTTCCTCTACAGCGGCCACACTGTCATTCTCACACTCACGTACCTCTTCCTCAAGGAGTGTATGTCACTTTCTCAGATGGCTGACTTTATTTGAAGACACAAATAGAAAGACTGTCTGCTAATTACAGACTTGAGGTCACTGTAAGCAATTTTAGATTCTGTTTTTAGCCATTCAGAAGACACTGAGCCACTTTCTGACCATTCATTTTGCATGTTCAAAGAGCAACCCATTATGATTCATAACTGATTCTTTGTTTCTCTCTAGATTCTCCTCGTTCTTTCTGGTGGTACCATCTTCTGTGTTGGTTAACGGCTGCTGTGGGTGCCATGTGTATCCTGGTGGCCCATGAGCACTACAGTGTGGATGTGGTGGTGGCGTATTTCATCACCACCCGACTGTTCTACTGGTATCACACTATGGCTAATCTGCAGGTATACATTCATCAGTAACATTAAACAATAGAAATGCTCGAATAAGGCTTTTATTAAATAAGGATTTTGGTGGTCTTCCTGTAATCTATTTCCAAGTAAAAAAGGCAATCTGGGTGGAACATATCAGATGACGTCAATAATATTTTTGTCCATTTTTACAGATGAGAAAACAACTTGTAGGACTGTGTTCACTATTGTTCAAGGGGATTTTTTTTTGTTAGTTTTTGAAAGAAGTATTTTATGTTCACCAAGGCTGCATTTATTTGATCTAAAATACAGTAAAATAGTAATATTGTGAAATATTATAATTTAAAATACCTGTTTTCTATTGTAATATATTTTAAAATGTTATTTATTGCTGTGATGCAAAGCTGAATATCCAGCATCATTACTCCAGTCTTCAGTGTCACATGATCCTTCAGAAATCATTCTAATGTGCTGATCTGCTGCTCAAGAAATATTTCTTATTATTATCACTGTTGAAAACAGTTGCTTAATACTTTTGTGGAAACCATGATTTTTTTTTGTCAGGATTCTTTCAAGAATAGAACGTTCAAAAGCATTTATTTGAAATGAAAAACTTTTGTAACGCTATAAATGCCTTTATTGCCACTTTTGATGAAATTAACGCATCATTGCTAAATAAAAGTAGACATTTCTTAAGAAAAAAATCGTACAGACCCCAAACTTTAGAACAATAGTCTACCTCAAAGCTGTGAAACGTAAGCTAAAAGGCACTAAAACGGCACTTCATGGGGTCTAAATGTGTACTTTTTGCGTTAAAATACGTTCTTGTTCACATATTTTGATATATTTTCATTTTGCATATTGTTGATATTTTTGATCTCCAGCCTCATGAAGACAACTACAAACACACACATCTGAAACCACAGCGAAGCTCTCAGCTCAATTGCGATTTAGATTCAGGGTGTCACTAAACCCAAGGCACCAAAACAGCACTAAGCCTTTTACTGAGAGCGTTTACATGACCCAGGGTACACTGAGAATATCCAAATCCATTAGGTCGAGCATCTGAGAAATGACTCCCTGATGATGGTAAAGTGCTGCACATTCGATTGAAGCCAATCTAGATATTTTAAACAGGAAAATTCCTTTCAAACTAGCAGAACACATCATGGTTATTCATACTGTTACAAGCAAAGTAGCCCATGATATCAAAACTGTCATATCTCAGAAAGGATATTTATGGTGGTTAAAAAGCATCCACAAAATAAAAAAAACTGAAATGCAGTGTGCGGTTGAGTCTTTGGACTGGTGTCTGTGTCCTGAAGTGGCTCCGAGGCTTCTGTCCTCAATGATAACAGTGATTTTTATGAAATTACTCAATTGCTTTGGAACCAAAATATCATATCAAATTTCGCAGAACTGCTTTTTGTCATTTAATCTCTCAACTGCAGTGCATTTATATCCTGTGCATTGCCACTTCTGTTTTTAGAAAACCAGAAGTAGTCAGTCATCTGACCATGCATAACAATGTTCTGTCTTTTTATTTGAATTCATCCTAATTATGATTTTAATTAATATTTTCATGTTTTCTCCAGACATTAAAGTGTTCTCCGAACAACTACCTCACTCATACATGGTGGAACCCCGTTTTTAACTTCTTTGAGAGGAACGTTCAGACACAAGTGCCCTGTTCTTTCTGCTGGCCAATCACATGGCCGCCTGCCTGTCTGAAGAACCCCTGTAAGAAATATTCCATGGTGCAGAGCGGCCGGGAGGAGTGACGTCGTGAATTCATCACAATGCCTAGACCAACATGTGGAAATGTTTTATATTTCACTTGTGGCTATCTCAGTGTTTACACCATACCAAAGACCAAAGACTGTTTGGCTATTGTTGCTAATTACATCTCTTATAACACTGGGCCAAACAGTTCATGATAATCAAAATATTGTAAAACTCAATATTATTTAACAAGTCATTGTTGATATTTTTACATTAAATTATATTCAGTCAGTGTGGCCTTTTAAATAAACACTTTTGAAAGTATCTGAAGGGCCTACGGAAAGTGTTATGTTATAAACAGATCGCTTTCTGTCAAAACAGATCTATTTGTTTGTGCATGCTTCTTAGTTGTCATATTTTTCCTTGTCTGTTTATTTAATTGTCATCTAAACACATGTTTGTCATAAAAGGTGTTGTTTAACAGTGTTTCGTTAATTTTATACACAATGTTATATTAGAAATGCATGCATTCTTTTTCTAATGATTCACGCCAACTGTTATTTTCAGTTCTTAAAAACAGAATGACATTTTATGGAAATAAATGGTTTACAATAACACCTAGTGCACCTCATGTTGTATGACATTTTTAAACACTTCTTTATCAAAATGTTTATGCAATTACCAATGTCACAAAAAGGAAATGAATGCATAACTCTGAAGATGTGCACAAACTACACATTTTTAAATGGTCACAATATTTATTTAACTGCTTATTTATTTATCTCACATGATTCTTAAGATTATGGTGATGATTGTAATTATTATTATAATTATACAACTGTTAAAATACATCAAATGCATCATTTAAAAAAACTGAAACTTAAGTTATAAATGTATAAATACATTTATAAAGGGTTATAATAGTTAACTAAAACTGAAACTAAAATTCAAAACATTTCCATTACTAGAAATAAATTAACTAAATGTGATTTAGTTTAACTTAATGTACTAAATTAACTAAAAAATTAAATAAAACTTCAAACACACACACAAGCTTGTGTCTGCTTCCTCTTATTGGATCAGTTGACCACACCCATTAGTTTTCGTCATCGGTTGATTCACCAATCAACTGTCAGCATGGCGTGCTCCTCTCAGCCAATGAAAAATACAAGAACACTCTACCCATGCTGCAGCTCCAGCAACATAGGAAGAAAATGTGTTTGAACAGCAGATAGCAAGTATTGATCAGGAGGAACTATGCGTCTGTTTTAGGAGACAGTGGATTTGATAAGTGCGCGAGTCATGGATGCTTCCCTGTCTTTGCTGTGGCAGTGTGTGTTCTCGCCTGTGAATATTGTGGGTTTGGTAGCGTTTGTGCTTCTTTTCTATGTGCTGCAATATGGAGTCAATATAGTGCCACATATTGCAAAACTTTATTATTTTGCATATATATGTGGCATTATATTGACTCCATACTGCAACAGTATGAGAGGCATCGAAGATACGCGAACATCCCTCCGGGTCCAAAGCCATGGCCCATCGTGGGCAACTTCGGGGGCTTCCTTGTGCCTTCGTTTATTTTAAGACGACTTGCAAAGTATCGTAAAGAGTTTGCAAAGATGGCCTCGAATCCGCTGTCACCTCAGGCTGGACTCATGGAGATGTCCAAACTCTATGGGAACATATTCAGCATTTTTGTTGGGCCTCAGCTTATGGTCGTGCTGACAGGATATGAAACTGTCTGGGACGCGATGTTAAACCATCCAGAGGTCTTCTCTGACAGACCACAAATACCGCTCGTAACTATTATCACCAAGAGGAAAGGTAAGATAAGCAGTCATTGTTAATGATTGCTGCATGCCATGATAATAGATCCGCGTAGATTAGAGCAGAACAGAACAGAATAGAACAGAATAGACTGGAGCAGAATAGTACAGAACAGAAAAATGCAGTATTGAAGAGAATAGAACAGTAGAAGAGACTGACTCCGAATAGAATAGAACAAAGTAGGCTACAATAGACTGGAGCAGATTAGAATAATGTAGAATTGAATAGAATTGAACAGTAGAAGAGACTGACACAAAATAGAATAGGACATAATAAAAAACTGCAGAATGGAACGGAATAGAACATAGTATAACAGACTGGCACAGAATGGAAAAGAATAGGACAGAGTATAATAGACTAAAGCATAATAGAATAGAACAGAATATTATAGAATTGAACAGAACAGAACAGCAGAAGAGACTGACTCAGAATAGAATAGAATCAAACAAAGCAGAATGGAAAATAATAGACTAGAACAGTAAAATAGACTGGAGCAGAATAGAATAGAATAATGTAGAATTGAACAGAAAACAACAGAAGATACTGATGCCAGAATAGAATAAAACAGTGAAGAATGAAATATAATCAAATAGAACAGTAGAAGAGACAGACACAGAATAGAATAGAACAGAATAAAACGGTAGAATGTAACTGAATAGAATCAAATTAAACAGTAGACTGGAGCAGAATAGAACAGTGATATATATGATAATGGTGCAGAACAAAACAGAACTGAACAGGACAATAGAGAAATGAAGAACAAAATAATAAAGCAGAATAGAATTGAACAAAACAGAATAGGTAACAGTAGAATAAAATAACAGAATAGAATGTCAGAGCCTGGTTTCAGAAATTTTAACTTGCATTTATAAGTTAAATGACCAAATCTAAAAGTGAAGCTTTGTATGTTTGAACCTAATGTTGTTCACAGGGATTGTGTTTGCGCTCTATGGTCCTTTGTGGAGGACAAACCGTAAATTCTGTCACAGCACTCTGCGCAGCTTTGGCTTTGGCAAGCTGAGTCTGGAGCCTTGCATCTATGAAGGCCTGACCATGATTAAAACAGAACTGCAGAGCCTCATCGAAAAAGCAGGGCCTTCTGGTATTGATCTGACTCCTCTCATCAGCAATGCTGTCTCCAACGTCATCTCCTCTATGAGTCTGGGTCAGCATTTCCATCACCAGGACCAGGAGTTCCGCACCATGCTGGATCTCATGTCTCACGGGCTGGAAATTAACGTCAGCACATCCATTTTGTTCAGGAAACAAAACATTTTGTTCCATGAGACTGTTATTATTATTATTATTATACTTTTTTTTTTAAGCATTATTGCAGAAAACTCTTTCAAATATGGTTTAGTGTTATTATCATAAAAACACGAATGGGTGTTCAACTATGGACCTGAAAACAGATTCTGTGAAATCCTGGAATAAAAAGCTCTCTAAAACAACACTCACTAATTTTAATTTCATTTTGTGGTGGAAAGTAAAATTGAAATATTTTTGGAATAAAATGGCCAGTCTTGCTAAGGCTAATTTCATAGCTTGAATTTCATGTCCAATACACACACTATTTTCACACTTTTTGTATAATTTGACAAAAATGCTGCTCGATTGGAAATGATGCACAATAAAATATTCTGCTGAAAAGCAATATTTACCTTGATTTGTCTTTACTTTCTTCACACATCATGTGTCATGTTCCATCGCAAGCTCTTCACTGAAACTGTTGCTTCCTTACTAAACAACTACACTAATCGCTTATTTTTACCCTAATCAATACACTGTTGATGAAACGTTATTAAAGACGAAATTGTTTGTTGTGGAGGATATAATGCTATAAATGTGGGCACAGTGATCATTTTTGAAAATCCATCATCGTTTTAAACGTAATCATTTGTATTTCTAATATAGATTTTAATATTTGAACATCTGAGTTTAGGATAAGTGTAAACACAATCTATATATCTGCGGCTGTAATTATTTTAAATCATGTAATAGCATGCATATAAAATCAATATAATTTATTAACGCCAATCTTACACAATGTATTACAGTAACAACGAAAAAATATATATATTTTTTTTTTAAAAAGAGAAAAGAACAGCAATTATACGCGGTTCAATGGTAAGAAATTAATTAATTTCCTTATTTAATTTTTTTATTTGTACAAAGATGTAGCTTAGAAATGGTAATCAACCATTAGAGTGGAGTTTTTAATTAAAACGCATTTGCTATTAATAACTTTTTTTTTTTTTTTTTCACTTCACAGTTTAAATATTAGTAAGAAAAAAACAATGGGGCTAAAGGTGCATTTGATTTGATTTTCCTCTTAACCACTAGATGGAACAAAAACTCAATGTTTTTCAATGTAATTGAAACTTTTCAATGGATATATGCAGCAAATAAGAATAGTTTTATTCAAGTAAATCAACAGTTTTGCAATAGCTGAAGAATATGTAAAACTGTGATATTTTGAGTAAAAAGTACCCTTACTGTTGGGGATATAGGCACAATAACTGACATGATAATAAATAGCTGGCTGGCTTTTCCATTTGTTGACATTACATGGTTAGATTCAGATGGTAAATATCATGTATTAAGTTGGGTGTCCACCTTAGAGATGATCATCATGTTTATAATGTAAACATCTTATTTAAAAATATGATAATCATATAATACATAGGACCGACCGTCACAGAACACGCGATCATGCAGGTCACATGCACTCTTCACAAGATCTAAACTAGATTCGACTAAGTCTGCAAGGTTTGTGAAATTAAATGTTCATTAGTCATTCAAAGATTTGTTTAAATTATATAAATGCGTATTTGCGGAATGCTGATGGCAAATGAGAAAGTATTATAAAGTTTGCCTTTAATAATATTAAAGCAATCGTTATAATACTTTTTTGTATACATTTTAATTCCTTTGTTTAACAGTTCTATCTGATTATTAGATAGACTTCTATCCATATTAGACAGAACTGAATGACAACAGCGAACAAGAGGGAGAATATGAGCACTGTGTGCTCAGGCGCTGTCAAAATAAAAGTCTCTAACACATCGGCCAAACAGAAAAACTTATCGGCCGATGCCGATATTTGAAAAATGGCAGATATCGGCCGATATATCGGCCTTGGCGATATATCGGTCGACCACTAAATAAAATATATTTATTGTTACTACTGTAAAGCTGTATTAAATTATGGGATGTTCTTCAAGCACTATAAGAAGATCTTTTCTGTATTTTTTTTTTTATTATTTATTGAATAAAAGTAAATGAAATAATTTGAATTATTAAGTAAACAGAATATGCTACAAACTTTGCTGAAGTGATTGTTTTGAACACTTATTAACTTAGATATTACACACAAAAAAAAAACAAAATTTTATGATTTATTTTCTTGAAAAATGTGTTGTTCCATCAGTGTTCCTATAGTCACTGTATATTAAGCCGGCCACTAATTACACTGCTACTTATCAAATAAATAAATACATAGACATTAAGCTGAAATTATATGAAAGTAAAGAGCAGAGCTATGTAGGAAATATGTTGACAAATGTCACTTATACTGTTCAGCGTCATTTTACAAAAATATTTAATGCAGAGATCGACCAATCAGAATCTAGTATTCTGAAGAGCTGTGAAAAGAGAGTTTATATTCAGTGTTTAATTTTGCTGTAAATTTATGCTTTCTAATTTACATACTTGTACTATGCACTAAAAGTAATCGCCTTTCTTGTTGCATACTGTTAAGCATGAATAATGAAGCTTGGTTTACTATTGTATCATTCAGATGTTTGCTGTCTCTTCAGACACACTATCTTCGCTAGCAACACGTCTTCCCTGCCAATCACAGACATCGCCAGCTCCACGGCCAGATTAGATCGCTTTGGCGGTCTGCATTTTTTCAACCCCGTCCCAATGATGAAGCTCGTGGAGGTTTGGATTGAATTTATGATTCACTCACTGCTGCTCATCCATCCACCTTAATACAAATGTCAATATCTCTTCAAGATATTGAAGCTTGCATTTAATTGAATATATGAAGCATGTAGTTTCATTGTCTTGTTAAAGGAATAGTTCACCCAAAAATGAAAATTCTGTCATTAATTACTCACCCTCATGTCGTTCCAAACCCATAAGACCTTCGTTCATCTTCGGAAAACACAAATTAAGATTTTTTTTATGAAATCCGAGAGCTTTCTGACCCTGCATTCTGACGTAGAACACGCATGCGCTGCGCCTTGTTTACAATCAGAGGTATGCACACGTATGCGTCATGGTATTCTCGTGAACACACGGCAAAGACTGACATGGAAGAGACGAAATAGTTGAATAATTTTTTTTTTTTTTTTTTTGCGCACAA